CCATGAGTGTATTGTTAACATTACCAATAGATCATTTTTATTTGAAATACAACGGAAAAATATTACTAAAATTATTTATAGAAATGTTCATGTTTTTTTGAGATCATCATTGTTTCATCATAAGTGTATTGTTAACATTATCAATCGATCATTTTTATTCGAAATATAACAGAATGACATAACTATAATTGTTTGTAGAAATATTCATATTTTTCTGAGATCATCATTATTTTGCCATGAATGTATTGTTAATAATACAAATAGATCATTTTTATTTGAAATATAACGAAAAAGACATTATTAAAATTATTTGTAAAAAGATTCATGTTTTTCCGAGATCATTATTGTTTCGCCATGAGTGTATTGTTAACATTACCAATACATCATTTTTATTCGAAATATAACGGAAGGACATTACTGACATTATTTATAGAAATGTTCATGTTTTTCCGAGATTATCATTGTTTCACTATGGGTGTATTATTAATATTAACAATTGATCATTTTTATTCGAAATATAATGAATCAGATATTACTAAAATTGTTTATAGAAAGGTTCATGTTTTTTCGAGATCATCATTGTTTCGCCATGACTGTACTGTTAATATAACCAGTGGATCATTTTTATTCGAAATATAATAGAATGACATTACTAAAATTGTTTATAGAAATGTTCATATTTTTTCAAGATCATCATTATTTCGCAATGAGTATATTGTTAATATTACAAATGAATCATTTTTATTTGAAATATAATGAATTAGATATTACTAAAATTGTTTGTAGAAAGGTTCATGTTTTTTCGAGATCATCATTGTTTCGCCATGACTGTACTGTTAATATAACCAGTGGATCATTTTTATTCGAAATATAATAGAATGACATTACGAAAATTGTTTATAGAAATGTTCATATTTTTTCAATATCATCATTATTTCGCAATGAGTGTATTGTTAATATAACCAGTGGATCATTTTTATTCGAAATATAATAGAATGACATTACTAAAATTGTTTATAGAAATGTTCATATTTTTTCAAGATCATCATTATTTCGCAATGAGTATATTGTTAATATTACAAATGAATCATTTTTATTTGAAATATAATGAATCAGATATTACTAAAATTGTTTGTAAAAAGGTTCATGTTTTTTCGAGATCATCATTGTTTCGCCATGACTGTACTGTTAATATAACCAGTGGATCATTTTTATTCGAAATATAATAGAATGACATTACTAAAATTGTTTATAGAAATGTTCA